TTTTTTTAAGATTTTATTTATTTATTCATGAGAGACCCAGAGAGAGACAGAGACATAGACAGAGGGAGAAGCAGGCTCTTCGCAGGGAGCCCGATGTGGGACTTGATCCTGGAACCGAGATCACCCCTGAGTCAAAGGCAGAAGCTCAACCGCTGAGCCACCCAGGCATCCTCCACTTCTATTCCTCTAATATTATCAGAATGGATTAAGAGAATTAGTAGGTGAAATGTATATCCATGTAACTCCCTATCACTACCATAGTTTTATCAAAAGAGTTAAAGGAGCAGGGCACCTGAACAGCTCAATCAGGCATCTGCTTGGGCTCAGGTCATGATCCTGGGGTTCTGGGATTGAGCCTCGAATCGAGCTCTGCACTCAGCATGGAGTTTGCTGGACATTGTCTCTCTCTTCCTCTGCTTCTCCCCCTACTCACACTCACACATGCTCTCTCTCTCTCTCTCTCTCTCTCAAATCAATAAATAAATCTTGGAGCACCTAGGTGGCTCAGTCAGTTAAGCGATGCCTTTGGCTCAGATCATGATGTCACGGGTCCTGGGATCAAGTCCCACATCAGCCTCTCTGCTCAGCAGGAAGTCCGCTTCTCCCTCTGCCTCTCCTCCTCCTCCCCACTCCCCAAATCCTGCTTATGCTCTCTCAAATAAATAAAATCTTTATAAATAAATAAATCTTAAAAAAAAATCCAGCCAGAGATGAGAATACTCTAAGAAACTGAATGAAACAATAGGAAAAAAACAATAAGCAATGAGAACAGATGTGTGGCTGACAGCAGGACTGCACCTAGGTGCCGATCACCACCCTCTTCCTTGAATTCCTGGGTGAGTAGGCACAGAGATACATATACTCCTAAGTAGCATCCTTATTATTAAATTAGGCAATGCATTATTAAAACACTTTGAAAAACACAACATGCTGGAGGAACCTGAAAGATGATGACAATTTAGGTGCTTCTAGTTGCAATAAATAGAGATTTCTTAAGGTCACTTCATAAACGGGAAAGGTAGGAAGGAGTTGGGAGAGAGGTACTGTAAAATACCTGTAGAAAACAGTAAACCTAGTTCAGCAATCAAATCCCACAGGAATCTAAGAAAAGAGTCTTCTACAAGAAAAATTGCTCAGGATCCCACAGCATTTTGAGGGTCCTGATGACTTTGTCCCCCCACTTTTTTTTTAAAAGATTTATTTATTTATTCATGAGAGACACAGGCAGAGAGAGAAGCAGGCTCCATGCAAAGAGCCCGATGCGGGACTCGATCCCAGATCCCAGGATCACGACCTAAGCTGAAGGCAAGCACCCAACCGCTGAGCCACCCAGGCATCCCGACTTTGTCCCCTTTTAAAAGTGAAAGTTCACTTAACTCCTCACTTAACACTCAGCTATTCTGTCTTCTTCTGGGTCTTCTTATTTTTCCTTCAATTACTAAAGGGCTGATTCTCTCTGAGTGAGTGTTTTAATACATATTCCTAAGAGGGTAATCAACTAAACCAATGAGAATCTGTAGTTCCCATTTAGGCAGGCTTTTTCCTGCCAGGCTAATTTTTCACCAACTGGCCTAAAGGTTGGCTGCCGTTCGGTACCTACCCCAGATTCTATCAGCTAAGGCCCAATGTGGAGGTTCAGGGGAGTAAAAACACAGAACTTGCCCAAAGCAAGATCTCTGGCCTGAAATGTTTTTCTTAGAACAGGATGCTGAGTGTGGTGGATGATAGATTACATGATTGGAAATGAATGGAAAAAAAAAAGCCCTCAAGCCCAACATCAAACTAAAAGACTCAGGATCCCTGGCTGGCTCAGTTGGTACAGCACATGACTCTTGATCTTGGGGTCATGAATTTAAGCCCCATGTCAGGGGGATGGACTGCACTTAAAATAGTAACTTTTTAAAAATCTTTTTAAAAACTCAAAGACTCAAAAAGTTAGAAAAGTATAGTTGTAAATTTCATCAGATATTTCACACAGATTATTTTCAAACACCTCACTGTTTAAACAAAAGTTCAGACCATAGAGAAAATCATGGCTTACTTAAAACTATAGTTGAAAATACATCAAACTGAGAACACTAGAATCTATAGAGCTAGGGGAGGAAAGAGTACCACAAGATGGCAGCATCATCCCATCTGTGCTTTATCAGGATATAAATCTAAGGGTGTGTTCATCTGTTGAACCTGCTCTAAAACTGCCCACCTCCTTCCTTGAAGCTATTTTTAAGAGACTGAAACAGCCCGTAGTTGACAGAGAAAGTACATATCTAAACAGTACATTCTTATCTCTGAGCTCACTTGATTCCCAAGATCTGGCTATCATGATTTTAGTCTAATTGAGTTAATGAAAGCGTGACTTCGGTTATCCAAGGATTATAGGCTCCTGAGGCATATTTCAATCGCAGAATATTTTCCTTCCATAGTAATATTCCTTATTTGACATTTATGTGATCCAGTTTTTTATTATAGCTATTTTTAATAACTGTATATCTCTCTCATACTAGATTCAATTCAAGCTCTTCACTGACGTTAATTTTCTGTGGCAACTTGGCTGGACCCATAGCATCTAGATATTTGGTCAAATGTCAGTCAAGGGGACACCTAGGTGGCTCAGTGGTTGAGCATCTGCCTTCAGCTCAGGGTGTGATCCTGGGTTCAGGGATGGAGTCTCGCATTGGGCTCCCTACAAGGAGTCTTGCTTCTCCCTCTGCCTATGTCTCTGTCTCTCTCTCTCTCTCTCTCTCTGCATCTCTCATGAATAAATAAATAAAATCTTAAAAAAAGTCAAGATGTTGATGTGAAGGTATTTTTTTAGACTTTAAAAGTACTCTCCACAATATGAGTGACCTTAATCAGCTGAAGGCCTCGAGAGAAAAACAATAAGGTCCCCTGAGGAAGAGGTAATTCCCTCTACATTGCCTTTGAACTCAAGCTGCAACATCAGCTCTTCCGTGAGTCTCTGGCCTGCCAGCCTGCCGTACAGATTTTAGAATTACCAGCCCCCACAATCAAGTGAGCCAATTCCTTAAAATAATCTGAAATCTTTCTTCTCTCTCTCTCTCAATACAGACCACAGACGCGCGCACACACACACATACACATACCCTACTGGTTCTGTTTCTCTGGAGAACCCTGACTAAAACACCAACTATAAACCAGGCCGTATTGCACCATGGAATAAAAAGAAGACTACGGAGTATCCTTGATCTTGAGAGACATGTGAAGACATAACTAATGCTGTAAATGCCAAGACAAATGTATTATTAAGAACTATAGAAAACAAGAAAAAAGAAATTCTTTAGGGAGTGGGATGGAAAACCATAAATGACATTTGAGCTGCAAAGAATGAACAGGTGTCTCAACAGGCAGATATTATAAGATGCAGGGTGCTAGGCAGTGGAAACCCACTGAGCCAAAATCAACACGTAAAAGGGGGCAAAATAAGCAGCACCAGCCTTGTGTGAATTTCTGACTTCAAGATACTATAACATCCAACATTTCCTGAGCTCTATTTTGTTTTTATATGGATATCATAAAACCTTAAATTTATAAAGCCAGAAACACTTATCTCAACCTTATAGTTTAGGAACCTGAGGTACACAAGGATCAAGCAAGTCCAGAGCCCTAAAACAATTAGGAGTATAAACCGCAGCAGTCTTCACTCTCTCAATGGCTTTGAAATAAACCTAGTCTCACCCAAATGCTAAGCTGAAGACTGGATGGCCTCTGGCCTCACACATGCAAGTGGAGCTAACACAGTATGAATATGCAAGAGAACAAATCTTAAGTATCTGATAAATCTCTATAAACATAGTCTTTGAACAAATACACAATATAGGAACTATCTGGGTGCTTTACTGGCTCAGTTGGTAGAGCATGCAACTTTTTTTTTTTTTTTAAGATTTTATTTATTTGAGCATGAGCAGGGGAAGGGGCAGAGAGACAAGCAGATTCCCTGGCTAAACAAGGAGCCTGAAGTCAGCCTTGATCTCGGGTCTCTGACATCATGACCTAAGCCAAAGCCAGATGCTTAACCAGCTGAGCTCCAGATGTCCTGAGCATGCAACTCTTCATCTCTGGGTCTTTGAGTGAGCTCAAGCCCCACTGAGTTTACTTATTTAAAAAAAAAAAAAAAAGTCTTCATCCAAAATAAAATCTAGAAACTACGTGATTTTTTAAAATATATGCACAGTGAAGTATCAAGGTTTAATGATTAAATATCACTGCCTTGAAGGAAATTTTATATGTATATGAAAGAATCTAATGAAATCAATAGACCCAATCTTGGGAAACACATATATACAAAATTCTGAGAGGTTTATGAATGTTCATGTCCCCTCCAAAGGCTATCCACAGAAGTTCATGGGCACTCAGGTTAAAAAACTGAAAAACGGGATCCCTGGGTGGCGCAGTGGTTTGGCGCCTGCCTTTGGCCCAGGGCGCGATCCTGGAGGCCCAGGATCGAATCCCACGTCGGGCTCCCTGCATGGAGCCTGCTTCTCCCTCTGCCTGTGTCTCTGCCTCTCTTTCTCTCTCTCTCCGTGTGTGACTATCATAAATAAATAAATAATTAAAAAAAAAAAAAACAACTGAAAAACCTGACCTAAGGTATTCTACTAGTTGGAAATTTCCATTATTTACTCAGTGATTCATGCAGGGATCCTTATGAAGCACCTTTTACCAAATCACTAAAAGTTATAATTATTCAAAAAATAACAAATAAGTAAAAGCTGTAGTTATTATTTCTATTCTCAAATAGTAAGTAACTTTATGAAGTTGGGTGATTTCAACCAGAATCTATTTACAACACTATCATCTTTCTGAAAAGGGTTTCATGAGTAGACCAGTCATTCTGTGATACAATCTGCAGAGAACATTAAGAGGAAGATTACAGGAGAGGAAAACAAAGGAGTGAAATGTTTGAAATAATATGAAAAAGGGAAGTATACAGTGTTATGTACAAAATAGAGCTTGATAAACAATCTGGGATAATTCAGAGGCCATTTTTTTTTTATTAAATGTGTAAAAAGTAGTCCACACTGTACAAGCTCAAAATCAGACAAATGTACAAGAGTATATAATTGGCATATTTAGGAACTGTATCAACCCAAAAACACTGCAGATACAATCCATATTACATTCAATGTCTGCATATTTACATAATACCTACTGCAAAATAAATACAAAATTAACTGTCATCATTTTAGATGTACATGTGATATAGGTCAAAACAAAGGCAATTTTTTTCAAACAAAAAAATAAAGGTAACTTTTCAAAGTATCAATTCATTATATTGTGCAAAAATACTGCAAGACTAATATAAGAGTTTCATTTAAGTTCAGTCAGTAAGATATGTTTCTACACTACTGAAATACAGCTAAAATTTTACACTGTAATTACCAATAGTACTTCTGATTTACAACTGACCTAAAAATAGTGGTTGCTAATACATATTCTTGACATTTTAAAAAATCTTCAAAACTTAAATACAATTCTAAAAGCGTATGTGCCTTGCCACTCCTTCAATAAACATGATTTATTTTAATACAGATCACAAAAATTCAATTAATTAACCAGAATTCTATATCTATTTCCTGCCTGCTATCTATTTCAATCTTAAATCTGACTTTATATCAAAAGTAGTGGTTCAGAATTCATTTCATAAGATTAATCCCAAGGATTACTGGGTAGTTTTTAAACTATTTCATTCCTTACAAATATAGACAGTATAGATGGGGAGTTCCTGGCATTAGAATTATGTGGGTAAAATCTGCATGGGCCTCACCTCAGAACTAATGAGAAACAATCTTCCAGAATGACTGTTTTGTTCTTTTTTTTTTTTTAAAGTTCCCGGGTAATAATGGTACACAGCCTGGCGTGGGAACCTCTGACCTACACCACTAGACCAGTGGGTCTCAACTTTTAAGGTACATTAGAATCACTTAGGGAAACTTAAAAAGAGAGACAAAACAAACAAACAGATTTGCTTCAGTTAGATTGAGAGTGGTGTCCAGAAACCGTATTTTAAATAGTCCTTGCAGCTGGCCCATAAACCACTCAAAGAAATAATGCACAGCCTTTATAAATGAGTACATTCGGTGATTGAGGTGACATTGTCCTGCAAGTGCTAATGAACCCTGCCCTAGGCAAGTTTTAGCTATTGTTTGAGGACAAATGTAGCCTTTTAAATATATTTATATTCTTAAATATCAGGTAAAGTCAAGTAAATTGAGAGATCGTAATTCACTCATTAAAGGGACCGGCTTTCCAACAAACTGTTTAAATCTTTAAACAGATCAGTCTTAAGCAGTCAGCTTAAATCTAATGCCCTCTCTATGGTTAATTAGCCTGATACAAGATCAGAGGTAGTAATTCCAGCTTACCAAAAATGTAATGTAGAGTATAAAAGATACACATTCTAAGCCTACACCCTTATTTATAGGCTCTGTACAGTCTCTATGTAATAGACACTGGAGACCACTTGGATATTAAATAATACTAAAACAACGAATAATATACTCTCGATCTTAAAAAATAAAATTTCATGTAATATTTGCCTCACATAAGTTTCTAGTGAAAATACTGAGGGAAAAATGTAGAAAATACTAAAAGTATCATGCTGCCTCTTTTCTGAAGAAGCTATTTGCTAATTTTCCACCATTCTTATCGTGGTCTATAAAATGGGTAGTTGGTATAGATATCATTCTACTTTACAAATTTTTTTAAAAGCACAGAAAAAGTAACCACATGGAAGGCCACACAGCAAACCAGAGGATAGACAGAACTAGCGATTAGACCTCCCATTTGTAAAGTTGAACTCATATCAATTTTTCAACTGTATCTCAGTGTGTGATGACTTAAGTATTATAAATACTGAAGCACATCTGAGTGTGTGACAGTTCTATCACCCCTGCCAAACACTAAGGGTAAGGATCATCTACTTTGAGCCCAGAGAACACAGGAGAACAAAAGAGCAACCACATCAGGAAACAGAGCAGACAATCAGCAAGATCTATCTGGAATCCTGCCCATATGCCCAATGTCTAAGATGCTATTATTTGCTATGTACACATGTCTCCATCATGTTCTTCACAAAGGCTTATACCACCTCTTTTCCAATGGCATATGTGAATAAACAGTTAGCATTTCTTCTTAACAAAGCAATGAAAAGGCAATTACCAAAAACTAGCACTGTGTTGCCAGAAAGGCAAGTCCTTTCATAAATAAGAAATTGAATCTTTTAAATCCATACTTATCAAGATGTCAAAAAATTCATCCTAGTCTTCAATCGCTTAGAGTCTAGACCATTTTCCAGTTTATAAATCATTCAAGGCCAAAATAATGAATTTGAAAACTACGCAGAAGTTGGAAAATTACATAAAAATATTCAACCGAGTGGCATTATGTCTCCTACCTGGGGGACAAACTTCTTGAATGCAGAAACAAAGTTACAGAGCCGCAGTCCTGGGGAAAGCACTGCAAAATGTGAGACAGTGACATAAGGCACTACCTTCCCTCCGTCTCCACTGATGCCACCCTGGACACTGGCACATGGGACAGGGAAGGGAGAGCACACAGACACGCTCAGTTTCTCACGTCCTCTTAGCTAGTTTGGCAGTCAACTGCTTTTCTCTTTCAAATTCCTTCTCGCGTTGCTGCTCCCTCTCCAACTCTTCTTTCTGCCTCTTCTGCTGTAGTTTAAGTGCTCTTTTCTGTGTCAAAAAAATTTTAAAAGAAGAGAATAATCAAAAAAAAAGAGAGAATAATCAAGGCTTATCAGTTATGGCCTCATTTCAAAGTAGCAATGATCGGATTTGAGGTAATCCACAAGCATTAATAAATTTTGCATTTAAGGGACACCTGGGTGGCTTAGTGGTTGAGTATCTGCCTTTGGCTCAGGTCATAATCCTGGGATCCTAGGATCAAGTCCCACATCAGGCTCCCCACGAGAGCCTACTTCTCCCTCTACCTATGTCTCTCCCTCTCTCCGTGATCTCTCATGCATAAATAAATAAATTTAAAAATAAAAAAAAGTAAAAATAAGAAAACCGTGAGTCATGAATTATGTTATTGAATATAAATATCTAAGTCAGAAAATGAACTGAAAAAAAAAAACAGTTAAACCTCTACTTCTATAAAGAATGTGAAAGAACTTTCCACTCACTTTTAGCTTTGATGTCTTTTCATGAAGCATCAGCATCTCTTTTCTTATATTCACCAACTTGGCATGATAGTGTTTGGCTTCAGTGAACTAAACTCGGAAAAGGAAAAGTCAGGTTAAAATAGTCTGAAATTTAAAAAAATAAAATAAAAGCAAAAAAACGACTGAAGTAGTAAAATGGATGAGTAATAAATTACAGTTCATTCTGCCTCAATCGGTCACATCTTTTAAAGCCTTAATTATCTTCACATTTCAATTGCAAAATTCAAATTTCATTTAGACCATTAGGCATTTGAAAACACTTGATTCAGTTCAAATGAGAAAAAAAAAAGTTACTAAACATAAAAGTAGACATTTATATTGTGTACAAGGTAACATTCTGCTTTAAAAACATGCACTATAGGGATCCCTGGGTGGCGCAGCGGTTTGGCGCCTGCCTTTGGCCCAGGGCGCGATCCTGGAGACCCGGGATCGAATCCCATGTCAGGCTCCCGGTGCATGGAGCCTGCTTCTCCCTCTGCCTGGGTCTCTGCCTCTCTCTCTCTCTCTGTATGACTATCGTAAATAAATAAATAAAATTTAAAAAAAAACATGCACTATAAAAAAAAACAATGCACTATAATCCTAAAATTTTATTAAGACTATCCAGTAATGCTATCAGTTTCATTTAAGAAAAAGTAGAACACTATCTTTACAAGGGAGAGCCTGAGTCAGAGTACACAGGACAATTTAAGTGAAGTGTCTACCTAGCAGGAAAAACCAAGCTGTGGTCAGAGAATCCTGAGAGGGCTGTGGACAAATCTAGTCATGTTCCTTGGGCTTCTCAAGTGAGACCAAGCATAACTATCTCTGTAAGGACACTTTTCTTCCCAAGTCATAGTATGTATAGACATTCCATCTCAGCCAGAGATGGGCACGAAGGGAAAAAAGCACCTCATTCTCAGGAGTCAAGGTTAACAGAAAGAGAAGACCAAGTAACAAGAATGAGAGAAGCATCAGTAAAGAAATTAAAAACCTACATGCATCTACAAGTAAAGTCTTAATCTGATGAGCTCTAGAGCTTACAGACTCTCTTTTCTCTCCCTTTCTCTCTCTCTCTCCTATTCTCTCTCCCCCCACCCCCCAATCTCTAAGCCTTAACAGTTTCAGTTCCTGAATGATAAACCACTCTTGGGCTGAGAGAGGAAAATATAGGAAGACTTGGTTTCTGCCCCTGCAGACTGAAGCAATACTAATACATCTGCTTGGTTCCTTCATCTATCATCATTCACTCAGCAAATGTTTGTCAGTGGGGAAGACAAAAGTAGGTCAGCGTAGCCTTGTCCATCCCCTTCACAAGTCAGAAAACCATTAAGTGAAAGACTTTATATTTACTACTTGAGGCTTCTCCCTAATGCTAGAGAAGATGAACTCTTTTTGACCATTATAAAGGGAAAACTTTACTGAGTCTCATTTGTCCAAAAAAAGGTCCATTTTTTGACATATTTATGAAAGCCCACAAAATCATGCAAACCAAGCTACTGCTTAACGTTGAGGTGAAAAAAAGGTAGCCACAAGTTCCTTATTTTTGTTAATTCCCTGCTTCTTAAAATTGAGTATCAGTTCCTCTCATCAAAAAGCTATAAAGCTTCTGATGAAATTCACTACTGTCACATAGACTGAAAGATAGAAAGGGTCTGTAAAGGACCCCCAAAGGGTCCATTTCAGGGTTAATCTGTCATGGCATTATTAATCGGCCATACAATTAAAGAAAATGCTCATTTTTAAAAAAGCCATGTAATTGATTAGGGGAGATGCACCTTCCTTAAGTGGAAACACAGTACTCCAAAAGCTCCTTACTTTCAGTTCTCTTTTAGAAGTCTTTAATTATGAGCAAATCTATTCCAGACTTTCACAAATAAGTTCCATTTTCTATTACAAGCTCACCATTTGAAAGGTAACAATTCAAGACTATGCAAGTTCTAGTAAAGTAAATTCAAAGTTTCCTATTAAAAGACAAATTCTAAACTTTAAAAATTAGAAAAATAAATAAATTTTAAAAATTAGAGGAAAGATCCTAAACATACCTAAGTACAAAGTTGCACAGGATATACCTAGCTATTTCTAAGCCAAGAGCTCATTACACTATGTCAACTAAATCATACTTACCAAAGCATTAATATCCAACATAGAATGACATTCTTTAAATTTTGAAATCTCTTGTTCCAGTGTGTCTAGTAATACAACTTGGTTCTGTCTGAAACAAAAGCGCATAGCCAAAATAAACTGTACATACTGTAAGTGCTGGAATCACATTTCATCTTGGTTAATATCAAAGATAAAAATTAAATTGAAAATGTATTGACTCTCCAAGGCTTAATCTTTTTCAACATAACATTCCAGGGGTGTGTGAACAGCTCAGTTGGTTAAGTGTCCAACTCTTGATCTCAGCTCGGGTCTTGACCTCAGGGTCGAGTTCAAGCCCTGTACTGGGCTCCATGCTGGGCATGGAAGCTATTTTAAAAATAATAATAATGATAATGATAAGGACACCTGGGTGGCTCAGCAGTTGAGCGTCTGCCTTTGGTATGGCGCATGATCCCCAGGCTCTGGGATCGAGTCCTGCATCAGGCTCCCTGCAGGGAGCCTGCTTCTGCCTGTGCCTATGTCTCTGCCTCACATGAGTAAATAAATAAATCTTAAAAAAAATAATGATAATAACATTCCAAAGTCACATTCTGATAACTGTCTTTTTAGTATCACCTAAATGAGCAAGTATTCTATAACTGAATCTAACGTAATAATTGAAATCACCAAATCATTTAAAATCATTTTATTATTTGTTATTTCTAGCAACTCTCTTTATTATCCAAAAAGTTTTTTTTACTATCTTGCCCCAAAACATTATTTTATGTATATTAAAATTGCAACACTACCATAAAGGGAATGGGGAGCAATGACTTTTTAGAGTTGGGGAAAATGTAGTATTAAGGGATACTAAATCAGAAAAGGTAAAAATGAAGATGAAAAAAACAGGACTAGGGATGCACCTGGGTGGCTCAGTAGGTTGGGCATCTACTTTTGGCTTGGGTCATGATCCCAGAGTCCTTGGACCCAGCCCTGAATTGGGCTCCCTGCTCAGTGGGGAGTCTGCTTCTCTCTCTCCCTCTGCCTGCTGCTATCCCTGCTAATGCTCTCTATCTCTGTCAAATAAATAAGATCTTAAAAAAAAAGAAAAGAAAAGAAAAACAGAACTAGGAATCACAAGATTCCCCACCAATAACCAGTTGTGTAATCTTGGAAATTTAGTTTATTTCTCTGGGCCTAAATTTCTTTATTAATAAAGTGAGAAGGTCAGACCAGGTAACTTCCAAGGGTCTTCATTAAAATTCTGATTCAAGGGCAGCCCGGGTGGCTCAGCGGTTTAGCACTGCCTTTGGCCCAGGGCATGATCCTGGAGACCCGGGACTGAGTCCCACGTCGGGCTCCCTGCATGGAGCCTGCTTCTCCCTGCCCGTGTCTCTGCCTCTCTCTCTCTCTCTGTGTGTGTGTGTGTCTCTCACGAATAAATAAATAAAATCTTTTTTAAAATAAAATAAAATTCTGATTCAAAACCTTCTATTGAGAAAAAGAAGCCAACTGCCCTGATATTCCTCTCCAGATCAACCAGTACTAGGATCACAAGAATAAGTAACATTGAGGGGCCACTGAATTATACATTTTTAAAGAATACTACAGGCAAAGCAAAATATGACATGGCTTGCTTGCAAAACTATGCTAAACAGGGATGCCTACCCGGGTGGCTCAGTGGTTGAGTGGCTGCCTTCCACTCAAATCCTGATCCCGGGCTCCCTGCAGGGAGCCTGCTTCTCCTTCTGCCTATGTCTCTGCTTCTCTCTCTGTGTCTCTCATGAGTAAATAAGTAAAGTCTTAAAAAAAAAAAAAAGAATAAAAAACTATGTTAAACAGAGAAGAATGATGAAAAAAGAAATAGCAACAAAGAGAGTGAAGAGCAGTAACAACATCTACACCATCCAACAGTGAGTTTGAAATACCCCCTAGCTCACAAGTTTGTCCTTTCAGCTCTGAGACCACAAAATGTGAAATACACAATGAATAAGAAGAGAACCCAGCAAGTCAATGATCCAACATAAGCAAGACAGCAATGACAGACTATATTACAACTAGAAAACAGTAAAGAAAAATCAATGAAACCAAAAAGCTGGTTCTTCAAAAGATCAATAAAATTGATAAACCTCTGGACAGACTTACAAAGAAAAAAAAAAGAGAAGACATAAATTACTAATATAACCTATAGAAGAGAAATCATCTCTGATTCCATGGACATTAAAAGGATCAAAACAGAATACTTTCATCAATTCTGTCCACAAAATTGATAATTTAGATGGAAATGACTAATTCCTTGAAAGACACAAACTTCCAAAACTCACATAAGGACACACAGATAATCTATGTAGGCCTATATTTGTTATAGGTATTCAATCAATAAGTAATAACCTTCCAGAAATGAAAATACCAGGAACAGATAGCTTTACTCACAATTTCTACTGAACATATAAGAAAGGAATTATACCAATTCTCCACAATACCTTCCAGAAAACAGAAGCAGAGGGAGCACCTCCTAACTCATTCTACGAGGCTAACGTTACCCTAAAACCAAAACCAGGTACAGATATTACAAGAAAGGAAAACTATAGACCAGCCTCTTTCATGAATATAAACGTAAAAAATCCTCCACAAAATATTAACAAAATGAATCCAACAATATATAAAAATAATTATACACCACAGTCAAGTGAGATTTATTCCAAGTATGCAAAGCTGGATCAATATTTGAAAATCAATTAGTGTAATCCGGGACATCAACTGACTAAAGAAGAAAAATCCTATTGTACGATGCAGAAAAGGCATTTGATAAAGTCGAACAATTATGATTAAAAACTCAAACCAGGACGCCTAGGACTCAAACCAGGTGGTTCAGTGGTTTGGAGCCTGCCTTTGGCCCAGGATGTGATCCTGGAGTCCTGGGATCAAGTCCCGCATCAGGTTCCCTGCATGGAGCCTGCTTCTCCCTCTGCCTGTGTCTCTGCCTTGCTCTCTCTGTGTCTCTCATGAAAAAATAAATAAAATCTTTAAAAAACAAAAACAAAAACAAAAAAAACCTCAACAAACCAGAGAAAAGAACTTCCTCAACTTAATAAAGAACTTGATTAAAAAAAAAAAAAAGCCTCTAGCTAACATCATACTTATGAGGAACTAGATGCTTTCCCTTTACAACATAAGGAAAGATCGTCTATTCTCACTATTCCTACTCAACAATGTACTAGAAGTTCCAGCTAATGTAATGAGACAAGAAAAGAAAAGAAAATGTATACAGATTGGAAAGGAAGAAATAAAATTCTCTTTGTTCACAGATGTCATGTCTGCCTCTGTGGAAAATCCCAAAGAATCAACAAAGTATATGAGTATAGAAAGGTTTCAACTTACCAGATTAATGTATAAAAGTGAGCTGTGAATAACTAGAAACATTACACCTTTTATAATAAACTCCCCTCATATAAATACTTCATTATAAATCTAACAAAATACATATAGAAGTTATATGCAAAAACTATAAAACTCTCATGAAAGAAATAAAAAAAAGATCTAAGCAATAGATATTCCAAGTACATGAAACAAAAAACTCAATTTGTTAAGATATCAATTTTCCCAACTTGATCTAAGTTCTATGCAATCTCAATTTAAATTCCACCAAGCTATTTTGTAAGTATCAACAAACAGATTCTAAAATTCATGCAGGGGACGCCTGGGTGGCTCAGTGGTTGAGCGTGTCTGCCTTCAGCTCTGGGGATCAAGTCCCAAGTCCCGCATCAGGCTCCTTGTGGGATGCCTGCTTATCCCTCAGCCTATGTCTCTGCTTCTCTCTGTGTCTCTCTTGAATAAGTAAATAAAACCCTTTAAAAAAATTTAATTTAATTTAATTTAATTTAAAAATTCACACAGAAAGTCACAGAATAGCCAACACACGATGAAGAACAAGATGGGAAGACCTACACCACCCAATTTCACAATTTAGTATAAAACTACAGAAGTCGAAACAGCATGATATTAGTGAAAGAACAGACACTTGATCAATGGTATAGAAAGCTCTTAAATAGACCCACACAAATACAGACAACTGTTCTTTGACAAAAGAGCAAAGGCTGGGGCACCTGGATGGCTCAGTCCGTTAAGCATCATTTGTCTTGGGCTCAGGTCATGATCCCAAGATCCCGGGATCAAGCCCCACCTCAGGCTCCCTGCTCAGCGCAGACCCTCTCCCTCGGCCTGCCACTCCCCCTGCCTGTGCTCTCTGGCTCTCTCTGTCAAATAAATAAATAAAATCTTAAAAAAGAGAGAGAGAGAGAGAGAGCAAAGGCAACCCAGTGAAGACAGGATAGTCTTTTCAACAAAGGTGAAGGAACTGAATAGTGATATGCAAAAGAAATTAATCTAAACACATATCTTACAATCTCATAAAAACTCAACAACAGACCATAGATCTAAATAAAAAACACAAACTAAAAAATCTAGAAGGAAACACAGGAGCAAATCTAGGTGACCTTGATTTGGAGATGAATTTTTACATGAATATCAAAGCACGATCCATGAAAAGAAAAATCTGGTAAGTCAGACTTGTAAAATTAAAAACTTGGGACACCTGGGTGGCTCAGCAGTTGAGCATCGATGCCTTTGGCTCAGGGTGCGATCCCGGAGTCCCAGGATCGAGTTCTGCATGGAGCTCTCTACATGGAGCCTGCTTCTCCCTCTGCCTGTGTCTCTGCCTCTGTCTCTCATGAATAAATAAATCTTTTTTTTTAAGATTTTATTTATTTATTGATGAGAGACACGGGCGGAGGGGGGGGAGGTCACAGGCAGAGGGAGAGGGAGAAGCAGGCTCCACGCAGGGAGCCTGACGTGGGACTCGATCCCAGGTCTCCAGGATCACACCTTGGACTGAAGGCAGCGCTAAACTGCTGAGCCACCTGGGCTGCCCATAAATAAATCTTTTTTAAAAATTAAATTAAAAACTTCTGCTCTTGTAAAAGATACTACTAAGAGAACAAAAAGACAAACCACACACTTGAAGAAAATACTTGCAAGACATATGAATGACTTGTATCAAAAGTATACGAGGAACACTTAAAACTCAACAGTAAGAAAATAACCTGATTTAAAAATAGGCAAAAGATCTGAATAGACTTACTGTATAATCATGAATTTGTCTGATCTTTGTTCCAGGTTCCTGGAATGTCTATTTTAAGACCCTTGTAATTTCCCAAATGATAGAAGTATCTTCATTATTCACGAACTCCTCTTAGAGCATGCCAGGGTTTATGCTAATAAGGTGATGGGGGCTGTTCATGCCAGAAAATCAATCACATGGTTACAACAGGGTTGGGGCTTCGAGCCAAGTGTTATCAGTCCATGTGATATCATGACTGGTATCAGCCCTCTCTCCAGAGAAGTTGGGGAGGGTGTAGGAGAGTGAGTTCAATTACATGGCCAACAATTCAATCAATTATGCTTACAGAGTGAATGAAGCCCCAATAAATACTCAACTCTACTCATCCAACCTCCCCTACAAAATCTTTATGACTTTTTGCCATAAGAATTTACTAGCTTTAATATACAAGGCATACCACACACTAGGGATAAAGAAAATCTCATGGGAATTAGCAGAAAACCAAAAGTGTTGCCAATTCCCTAACTCAAGGAGTGTACCACACAGAATAGAAGGTAGTACCACTTTCATACTCATTTATCACCTTTCAAATTCAAGGATTATAACATTACTTACTAATATGTACAAAATGAATATAGTGTTTTATTCTCCTCTCCTTTTACCCTAATACAGGCTTGTAAGGTAAATTTTCAAAGGGCAGCTCATAGCTAGTTCATAGCTAACCACTAGGAAAAGAAATGATAGGCCAGCTAGGGCAACCACGTGAGATCCTACCCAAGAGAAAGTAAAAGGTCAGTCTGCTTTTCTGGGTGGGAGCTGGTAAAGTTAGTATATATTTTTGCTTACTGATCCTACTTCATGAAATCCTGTTTTTCTCTTGGTGTATCCTTCAATCCTTTGTTTAAGTAGACTTATCTAATAGAAATAAAATGGGTCCTCTCAAAAATACACTTAAAGATTTTTGGCAACTCATGTGAACCAGTGACTGAAAACAAATGACTCTTATGGGGGCAATTTTGCGACACTACTCAGAAACCGGTGTATACCCATCCTGCAACACTCCCAGTAAGCAGTATCTTCATAAAACACTCTAGGAGTAGTATTCATTTCACTTTTTACATTTAAAGTTTTATTCTTTTAAGTGATCTCTACACCCAATGGGGGGGCTTGAACTCAGGACCCCAAGATCAAGGGTCACAGGCCAATAGAGCCAGCTCAGTGCCTCTCACTTTTTACATTCAAATTACATTAAGTACTCCTTCACTCCAATGTGCTAACACTAAAGACAGAAATATTCAACTGTATTAAATGTCACAAAATGTTATACCTGAATATAGTACATACACGTGTAATTTATGACTATGCCAAAGGGGAAATGAGTGCATCTATGGTTTTAGCTAGCTCACGTGAGTTCCTGAAGAGCTTGTTTTGATCTCTGCAGATCTGGCAAGTAGTGAGAAAGCAATCCTTCTGCCAGCTGCTCCACAGCTTTGTCTTCTACAGTCAAGTCCTCTAGTAATCCTTCATCTGGTGAAGTGTCACTTAAACCTGTCCCCAAGAAAAAATCAAATGTAGGAGTTGTTTAAATGGACATGGGGGTAAAAGAGTACTGGGGAGGGAAGGGGCTGGCAATGGGGTTCAGAGCACACACACAGGATACTACAGGCATCCTTCCTCTGCTTTTTTTAGCTTACCTTCTGAGTGTACTCTAAAAAACAGGATATAAGCACTCAAAAAATGTTTTTAAGCCATTAGTATAAGGCAGTGTCTGGATTAAACGAACATTAACATATGTAAAACATATTCTATATGGTTACATATTTTTCAGGGCAAAGGATTTACAGTTTTCAATGGATTATTAAGTGTCTGAGGCCTAAAAGTGGAGTCACTGAATAAAAGCAATAAATTCTTCTTTTCAGAAGCATGCAGAAATTTTATATACATATAAATGCAATAACTAAAAAAATTTTTTAATGAATGTAAGTAAAAATGTGGGTTAACATTTACTTTGCATATAGCTTAATATCTTATTTACATGTGAAAGGAATGTCATTTTATCATTTGTTAGGAGAAAGATTTTTCAAAGGATTTCTCTTGAGACTCAGTACCTGAATTTATCCTAGAAAATAGTGTATCATAATTGCATGTAAATCTCAACACAATGCCAGGAACTATGCCTCATACTTCTCCTTCAAATAACAGTATAAGCACTGTGTCAGACATTCAAAAACATCTAAAATGAATACTCATCAATGACTACTACTACCAAGAAAAGTACAAAAGAATTTCTAAACAGGGTTCGATGAATGGACAGGGATGCCTGGGTGGCGCAGCTAGTTGGGCATTTGGCTCAGGCAGTGACCTCAGTGTCTTGAGATCAAGCCTTGCACTGGGCTCCAGTTAGAGCCCAATGGGCTACTCCTCCCCAACATGTGTACATGCTCTCCCTCTCAAATAAATAAATAAATAAATAAATAAATAAATAAATAAATATTTAAATACACATGCACACACATATATAATAGGAAAAAGTGGAGTATTATGGATATTGTGACTGATGTATACCATCAGATGAGAAGTGAATAAAGTATATCTGAAAATTAATGCCATTGCTTAAGGCTTGGTTACAGTAACAGTGCAAAACAGCAACTATCTTTAAGGAAATAAAGAAAACAAGTATTACAGACAAACAATAGAAACACCCAAATAAGGATATGTCCACTTTAAGGAATAACAATACACTTCTCTCACATTAGATAGACATTTTAAACTCATAGACCTCGCCCTATTCTTCCCCAATCTTTTGGTTAATTATGGAAGAGTCTACCTTGCTCACACTTCTAAATACATTAAGTTACTAAGTTCAAGGCACTTCACTGTGGGAGATTAAAGAAAAAGAGAAGGATCCTTACCCTACTTATAAAAGAAACATTAGATACACACCTGTATTAGCACTAGTTTCCAAGATTATAAGAATAAATGAAGCAACTGTCCTTCTCTGAAAGGGCTCGATACAGAAGAATTATAACCTATGAGAAGTGCCATTAGCAAACCAGAAACTGTTACAGGATTTCAGAGAAGAGAAAGATCATGTTCACCAGGGAAGTCTGAGAACAACTTCTAAAGGAAGTGTGGGAACTGGAGTTTAAGCTTGCAGAATGGATAGAATTTTCTTTTTAAGTATTACTCATTGTAAAAACTTAAAACTCAACAAGACAGAGGTATAAGCTGAAAAGTAAAATAAATACTCTTTCTTGGAGAGCTAGGCTGGCTCAGTCAGAAGAACATACACAACTCTTGATCTCAGAGTTATGAGCTCAAGCCCCACACTGGGTGTAGATTACTTAAAAATAAAATCTTAAAAACTCTTTCTCATTCCCTTATTCCAGTCACTCTGCAGTTTCTTACGTGGCCTTCAAAAAAATTGTCTTTGCATACCCATGCATAAATCCTGTTTTAATCATAAAGGAAACATTACACATATTGTTCCTTTCTTAAATATAAATATTAAATATCTTCCATATGCACATATACACATCTACTACATTATTTTGAATAGAAAATAATTCTACCATATTGGGGCACCTGGGTGGCTCAGTTGGTTGGGCATCTATCTGCCTTCAGCTCAGGTCATGATCCCAGGGTCCTGCTCAGTGGGGAGTCTGCTTCTCCCTCTGCGCCTATCCCGACTAGTGCCCGCATGCTCTTTCTCTCTCTCTCTCTCTCTCTCTCATCAAAAAATAAATAAATAAAATTCTACCATACTTTGCTTACCAGTTCTCTGTTACAGACTGAATATTTGTGTGTTGTGTGTCCTCTCTCCCCATTTCCCCTAGCAAAATTCTCTTGTTAAAGTCCCAACCTCCAAGGTAATGGTATTTGGAGGTAATTAGGTTTAGATGAGGTCATGAAGGTGGGGCTCCATGATGGGATTAAGATAAAGAGAAACCGGAACTTTCTCCCTCCACCACGTGAGGACACAGTATGAAGACAGCTGTCCGCAACATCAGAAGAGGGCTCTTACCAGAACCTAATAGACCAGCACATAGATCCTGGACTTTGTAGAGCTCTAGAACTTCTGGAAATAAATGTCTGTTGTTTAAGCCACCCAATCTATAGTTTTGTTGTAGCAGCCCATGTAGACTAAGATACCTAAGGATGGGTATTAGGTCATTCTCACTTTTTACTATTTCAAACAATGTTGTCCTGAGTTGCCTTGTCTTCATATATCACGTCAATGTTCTGGTAGGATAAACTCTTAGAATAATGGGACAAAGGGTTTAGGCGTTTCTTTTTTTTTTTTTTTTTTGGTTTAGGCGTTTCTTAAACAGACATTGCAAAATTGCCTTCCTAAAATATAGCACCAATTTATACTTTTACCATCAATCTTTGAAGCCTCCTATTTCCAAATGAGTAAGAATTCTAAAGAAGTGGAAGGAATACTATACGGTTAAAAAAAAAAAAGGCTACATAAGGAAAGGTGGGAATATGGGATTGCTCTGGAAAAAGAAGATAGTTTATGGTGTCTAGAGAATAGGACATATGCAATGTGAGCTTATAGGACCAGCCCATGGGGATCCCTGAGTATCCAGCTAAGGGGTTTGACCCTTTAGTTAATAAGCAGTAAGGAGCCATTTTAAGGTTTCCAAGCAAGAAAATGACTGAAGCTTTATCTTGGGGCAGTGATATGACAACAGTGGGACAGGTGCAGTGAAAGAGTAAGACTGGAGGTGGACAGACATACAACTGTCCCTGTAAGAGTGAAACTACAGAAAGGAGATGGGAACTGAGGAGTAGAGCCACCTAGACCAGAGGTAGGAGGCAAGTGAGAGGACAGTCAAGAGCAACGCCAGAGTTCCAACGGACAGTGACTTGGCACCACTAACAGAATCAGACTCCTACAAGCCGAATGCAAGGTTCGCACAGAACAACCACGTCCCAGTATCCAGCAGGCAGAGGAGGCGGCAAACCGCACGTAAATACAGGGAAGTCGTGTTTATGGAAGCAGCTCATGAAAGTGTAAAGAGGAGGCGATCACGGAGGAAAAGCATGACCAAGAGAGAGCCGAAAACACTATTTTCAAGTAGATCCTATATCCCTAGAACCTAGGAACCTAGATAAAAGCCTTGCCTTTCTCATCCGAGGTTCCTCATCTGGAAAGAAACTGTTTTGACTATTTTCTCAATTTTCCCAAGGACGGTGCGTGAACAGTACCATCCAGGATGCCTGGCAAGTCTATTTTTCACATTCAGTGGGTGGCGTGGGTTATTAGGGCTTAAGTCGCTCCTGGAACTCGGGCTGAGAGAGCAAGACCGACCTCCATGAGCGAGGCGTCAGGATCCTCTGAATGACAGACCGACCATCCGCCCGACAAATTCATCCTCAACCATTCACGCGTAACAAGTAGCCAAAAGCGCGGGAGTCCACACCCAAGCGCAGGGCGACCCCACCGCCCACCGCCCACCGCCCACCGCCCCGCAAACACCGCTTCCCGTCCAGGCTTCGCTCCCCACTCATTCAGCGCGGCACCGGGGCGGCGCGACTCCCCACTTCCGCGCGGGGGCCGGAGCCTCGGGGACCCGCCGCTCTCCTCAGCGGAGCAGCCCGGGAGACCCACCCACTCGGGTCCCGCGCCCGCCCCGCCCCACGGCACGTACCCGGCGTCGGCTCCCCGGGCCCCAGGCCGTGCGGTGGCCCTGCCAGCGCCCCGTCCGGGGACGTCGGCCCAGGAACACTCATGTCCTTCCCGCTGGGCACAGGGAAGGGGCAGTTTGCGCAGACGGTCAGCGGCAGGGAGAGCGCACTCAACGCGTCCAGCGCCCAGCCGGACCCGAGCGGCAGTCGCACCCGGAAATGACGGAAGCGGAAGACGGTGTGACACCCCGCCCCCGGCCGTCCCCTTTTCTTGCCTCCGCCTCCGCACGACCACCCGCTGCGCTGCTGGGACTCCGCGCTGACGTCGTCGGAGTCGGGTGCAGGGCGCGGCGTCGGTCGAGTCCGTGTTTCCGGGGTCCCGTTCCTGCGCCCGGTGGTCGGGGAGCGGGGTGGAGAAGAGGGCGCTCCCCGGTGGGTCGCCAGGGAGGGGAGAGCTTTAGTGTCGAAGGTGATCGTGCCGTCGGGCTCTGTTCGCCGAAGCCCGGCACCGCTTTTCAGGTTCTTGTCCGTGTTCTGGAAACACCTTTTTTTTTTTTTTTTTTATAAATTAATTTTTATTGGTGTTCAATTTACCAACATACAGAATAACACCCAGTGCTCATCCCGTCAAGTGTCCCCCTCCGTGCCCGTCACCCATTCACCCCCACCCCCCGCCCTCCTCCCCTTCCACCACCCCTAGTTCGTTTCCCAGAGTTAGGAGTCTCTATGTTCTGTCTCCCTTTCTGATATCTCCCACACCTTGACAACCGGGAGTGCGTGCTTTCCCCGCGGCTCGAGCCGGTTTTTTTTTTTTTAAAAAAGTGGGTCTCTAGCGCTTTGAGCTTCGGACTGGCTAATTGGGAACTTGCCAAAATTCCGGTCTCCCCTACTTGTTTCAGGTGAATGATTTTAAGGCCTGGATTGCAGTATCTACTGGGCAGATTCAGCCAAATTACCGGAAACTGCGCGTGCAGAGTTCCTGTGGGATGACGTCACGGTTTTAATGAAAAACTTAGAAATGAGCAGAGGCAGCCCCAGACCAAATAGGAAGATCAGCTATGCGCTCCTGCCCTGGAGGCTCTCACCTTGAGTGTAATAATGGCTTTCTGACGTTGCACCCCAGAATCGCCCGCTCCCCGTTTTAGGGAGGGGGGGCAACGAAACCGTTTTTTTTCTTTTTTTTCCTTTTTTTTCTTTTTGCCAAAACCGTTTTCAAAGAAATGTAGATTTATGTCGAGCCTCAGAAACCTGCACCTGCTGCCCATTGCTCTTACCAGTGCATGCACACCCTCTTGGCCACCTTTCCTTGCTTACTATCACGGGCTTAGTCCCCAGAGCCTATGAATATGTTAAATCTCACCCACAAAGGCTAAGTTAAGGTTGCTAATTATTTGACTCTAAAAACAGATTATTCTGGGTTGTTAAATGGGCCAAATGCAATCACATGGGCCTTCCAAACGAAGGGGGGTGCACCGGGAGATGTGACTTGGAAGAATGATTGGAAGGCTTTGAGGGACGCCTGGGTGGCTCAATGGTTGAGCATCTGCCTTGGCTCATGGCATAATCCCGGGGTCCCAAGATCGAGTCCCACATACCGCTACCGGCATGAAGCCTGCTTCTCCCTCTGCCTATGTCTCTGCTTCTCTCTGTGTCTCTCATGAATAAATAAAATCTTAAAAAGGGGGGGGGGGCTTTGAACATAGAGGAAGAGAAACCATGGGCCAGATTTGTGGTAACTTCTAGAAGCTGGAAAAGACAAGGAAGTGGATTTGCCTCTAGAATGGAACTCGACCCTGCTGACACCTTAATTTTATTCCTAATGAGACCTATGTTAGACTTCTGACCTACAGAACTATGAGAAAATATATTTGTATTTTAAATTTGCGGTAATTTCTTACCGTGACAATAAAGTAGTGCACTACCCTTCAAACATCCTTTGTTCCTTCCCAACAACTACTAAAATCATGCCCTTTGATGTCTGCAGTGTTCCTGCTCATGCTTCAGCCTGGAATATTCTATTTTTGTCAAAGTCCTACTCATCTTTCAAGGCTTGGCCTAAGTAATACCTTTAAAATGATTCACAATCCCACCTCCCCATTCAACTTTCAGAAATTATAGTAATAACCTTTGCTCAACTACAAAGCATCTGGCTATTTAGCACTTAAACCATTCTTCTATTAGTTATCTCCTTTGACTTCCTTTATTAGATTTTAAACTCCAAACAAACTCTTATTCACAGAGAACCATACTGGGTTTTCAATAAATATTTATTGAATGAACTATTGGTTCTCCAGAGCCAAATTCCAAATACCTATAATCTTCAAAGTCTGAATCATATAAGATTGCAATAAGCTTGCCTGGTAACCCGGTTTGATTATTAGTATTATCCCAACTACATATTAAGGTCCTTTAGAAAAGACCTGTATCCCTCCTTTTTATCTCTTAGCATAGTATTAAGCATACTACTTGGATTTTAAGACTGGTTATTTGAATTTAATAGGATGAAGTTAAGATGTCACACCCTGCCTGTTTTTATCATCTTCTATTTAGCTTTCAAGAAAGATTCACATTGGGGATCCCTGGGTGGCGCAGCGGTTTGGCGCCTGCCTTTGGCTCAGGGCGCGATCCTGGAGACCCGGGATCGAATCCCATGTCGGGCTCCCGGTGCATGGAGCCTGTTTCTCCCTCTGCCTGTGTGTGTCTCTGCCTCTCTCTCTCTCTCTCTGTGACTATCATAAATAAATTTAAAAAAAAAATAAAAAAAGAAAGATTCATGTTAAAAATTTTAATGAATGTTCTTTTTCAACATTTTACTTTGATGTGACAAAAAAATGCATCAGCTAAATAGACAAGGAGGACTTTCTGCCAGGCCCATCTTGCTTTTTTTTTTTCTCCTTTTCCTTCTTTCCCCTACAGATTTTAACTCATTGTATCAAGTGCTTGTTGAAGATCCACAGTCTTCACCCTCCATTATGCAGGTACTGTGCACCTAATATTGCATATGATAGCTCAGAACATAAGGTTGGAATTTGATGTCAAAGAAGTAAACACAGTTCATTGAGTCATCTATGTCTTTCAAAATACCCTTCATTTACCCATTAGCCATTCTCTCTCTCCCTCTCTCCCTCTCTCTCCTCCAATCCCTCTTTTTTGGTTCCCAAGTTTTATTCAAGAAATCATACAAAATATTGCAAATAAGCGAGTTTTAATCCTCATCTTCCTTCTCCTGGTTAATCTGGACATAATGTGGGCAGCCCAGGTGGCTCAGTGGTTTAGTGCCACCTTCAGCCAAGGGTATGATCCTGGAGACCCAGGATCAAGTCCCACATTGGGGTCCCTGCATGGAGCCTGCTTCTCCTTCTGCGTGTGTCTCTGCCCCTCTCTCTCTCTCTCATTCTCTCTCATGAATAAATAAAATCTTTTTAAAAAATTGGAAATAATGTAAATCACAACTCTTTGCTGGGAGCAACTACACACAACCAATCACATAGATTATTCTTCAAATATTTTTTGGTGAGATGTTTTGACTACCTTTTGGAAAAAGTCAAAAGTTACCTCAGAAATTACAAGAATCTTGCTCTTGCTCCTTTCAGTGGTTACAACCCCTCCACCAAGATTCCCAACTTTTTTATTCACTTTGATTTTTTTTTTTTTTTTTTTAGTCCAAGCCTACTTATTTGGTCACCTTGATTCTCTCTTGAGGAAACTGCTCAAAATTGGCAGCATCCATGGTTGTGTTTTTTTTTAAGATTTTATTTATGTATTTGAGAGAGAGAAAAGCACAAGCAGGGGGAAGCAGGGGAGAGGGCAGAGGGAAAGGGAGAAGCAGACTCCCTGCTGAGCTGGAAGTCTGATAGCTTGATCCCAGGACCCTGAGATCATGACCTGAGTGAGCCAAAGGAAGCTGCTTAACCACTTAACCTACTGAGCCACCCAGGCATCCCCATGATTCCATCTTCTACAGGGCAGTGCAGTCAAGGGTAAACTTCAGAGCTTGCTTTTTTTTGTTTATTTTCTTGCCCCTCTTCACCATAAGCTTTTTCATGGGAGCCATGGCAGCACAGAGGCAGAAAGGGGGTCGTTCTGTTTTACACATCAATCCATTCCATATACCTTAGTTCCTAAGAATGGACTAGCCACCATAAGGTATAAAAAATAGGTAGAAATTCTGATTTCTATCCACCAAGAATTTATGTTCTACCATTTATATGTAGTAGGATTGGAGAATATGACGGTAAAGTAGAAATTATGTGGAATAGATCTAGAGGATTGTAAAGGGTGTAATGATGTCATATTAGTTTCCTATGCTGCTATAACAAATTACCACAAATTTAGTAGCTTAAAACAACACAGATTTATTATGTGACAGTTCTGGAGGTCAAAAATCCAAAATCACCCTCAGTGGGCTAAAACCAAGGTGTTGGCAGGGCTGGTTACTCTGGAGGCTCTGAAGAAGACTGTCTGCTTGTCTTTTCCAGCTTCTAGAGAGTGTCTGCGTTACTTGACTGCTGGCCCCATGTCCCACTGCCTTTTCTCCTTCTACTACCATTGTAGCATCACCTCTTCTACTCTAATCCTCTGGCCTCCCTCTTATAAGGGCCCTTTTGAGGACATTGAGCCCACCTACATAACCCAGGATTACTTCAGCATCTCAAGGTCCTTAATTTAACCACATCTGCAAGGTACTTTTTGCCATGGAAGAGAACATTTATTTACAGATTCTGAGGAATTGAAAGTGGACACCTTTGGCGGTGGGAGGCCATTATTCAAACAACCACAAATGCACAGTCATATAGTACACAATTGGGAAGTAACTAGAGAAATTTTTAAAACTTAAAAGAGGAAATGAACTTAAGCCAAGGCTTGAAGGTCAAGTCAAATGTAATACACAGAGAAAAAATAGTAAAGCCTCCCAACAGGAAAAAACACCACAAGTAGCAAAACAATACTTCAGACTCAAGGACTTCAAGATGCTGTCTTTGGGAAAACAAAACTAACCCAGATTCAACAGTGAATAGAAAACCTAACAAAAAAAGGTGTTGTATAGCCTTTTAGGCCAAAATAAGTGAAGATGACAAAAGATAACACAAAGTATAGTCATATAGCTCTGAAGAAGTCAGTCCAAAGAAACAATGTCCAGAAAGAGTTAAATACTGTATATATTCATAGCAAAAGAAAAACAAGCCCATTTGTCCTTGAAATCCAAAAGAGAAAG